CCACTCTCTGGGCCCAGCCATCCGGCCAGTGTTTGATCCAGCAGTGTAAACCTGTCCGTGCCTTGGGTAACCAGTTTTTTCGTGAGAATGCTGTGGGGAACAGTATCAAAGGCTTTACTGAAGTCCAGGTAAATAACATCCACAGCCTTTCCCCTATCCACCAAGCAGGGCACCTTGTCATGGAAGGAGATCAGGTTTGTTAATCAGGACCTGCCCTTCAGGAACCTGTGTTGACTTGCCTGATCATCTGGTTGTCCTGTAAGTAGTATGTAATGGCACTGGAGATGATCTGCTCCATAACCTCCCCGGGCACTGAGGTCAGACTGACAGGTCTGTAGTTCCCCGGATCTTCCTTCCAATCCGTCTTGTAGATGGGCATTGCATCTGCTAATTTCCAGTCCTTTGGGAGCTCCCTGGTTAGCCAGGACTGCTGGTAAATTATGAAGAGTGATCCTTTCTAGGTAGCTTGGGTGTCTTTGAATAGCAGTGCTGCACGCAACTGTAGCGCACACTTAGATATTTGGCATCCGTGAAAATGAGTCTTTCTCCTTCGTGTACTTTTCAAGGTTCACACCAACCAAAGACCCTTCCATTCCTGCAGAGCTGGCCAAGGGCGCGCACACAGTCATCGGGTGTGCAGCATCAACGAGAAGCTGCTGTGGGCACTGTGTGCCCTCCAGGTTTGGAAAAAGCTGCTTTAGGGTAACACAAAGTGTTCAGCTTGCAGCTTCTTACATTTGCTGCTGTGGTGGCAAAAAAAAAAAAAAAAATAAAAAAAAAATTGGGTAAGAAAGGCTGGGGGGGAATGTTTTCAGCATTTTTAAAGGTCCTTTGTCCCCAGAAGAGTTTTGATCAAAACGCTGACAAGGTCAGCTCTTCCTAGGGTAGAACCCAAAGTTTCGGTTTAGGAAACAAACAATCCTTTTATCTCCTAATTTCAGATGTGCCTCTGCACTCTGTGGACCTGAAGTCTCCAGTTGACAACACAGACCGACAGATTCTCCCTTACAAATGCTGTTTAAAATAGCTGACCTTTCATTATATAAGGATGCTAAACTATCTTATATCATCCTTTTTCTTCAAATGGATATTTTTATCTTCTTTGATTTTTCTCTGTTATTAGCAGGGACCATGAGCCAGGTTATCAGTAGAGCAGTTGCATTAACCTGTACAAGAAGAGATTTATATTTTTAGTTGTGGTTAGTAGCGTCAGGGAACCCAGAACATTCAACGGCAAGTTTGTAGCTCATTTTTTGAGTTTGTAGTGGTGTAAAGAGGTGTATACTCAGCAACCTGCACTTTGTTCTGAAGTAATACCTGTGTTTGTCAGAAATGTGGTTTGTTTTTATGTCTTCCGAGGCATCTTCCTAGGAAACTTTTTGGGGTTGTATTTCAGAAGAGGAAGAAAGTGTACTGAACAGTGCTTCATTTAATTTGAACTTTATGTCTTGAAAGAACTTTTTCAACCGAACTGCTGAAAGTGGTTGATGAAGGGATGTTGGCTTTCAAGGCAATTAGCAGTTTGAGAACCCTCAGTGGCCTGAAATGAGCCTCTCCTCTCGCTTAATGCACATATGTCTGCAAAGAAAATTTGTGAATTAGCAAAATCAGTGTAAGTCTTTCCCACTTTCTCAACTAACTGTAACAAGTTTTGAAGTGTTAAAATAATTACGTGTCAACTTCTAACACATTGGATTCGAATTAGAGGACAAAACATTCAGTGTAGAAAAGCACCTTCAGCAAAAAGAGCCACATAACCACAAACTGTCCTAATCAGTGAGTCACAGTAAGGTTTTAATGGTCTGATTTATTAAAAAAAAAAAATAAAATCAGTTAACTTGCACAGTTATTTGTCAGTTTTAATGCCAGTCGTTTATAGGAGTGTGCGGGAAATTGCTTAGTTACCAGATAAGAATTAAACATTCCCGGAGACTCTCCAGGGAAGGGGTTTGGAGAACTCGGTGCAAGTCTTGTCTGAACTTTGCAGCATGTTACCACGGGTAAAGGTTATCTCTGTGCTCAAAACTGAACGCCCACCGGCCGTGGCTTCCAGCTTAGAAAGGGAAGGAAATAAAGACAGCACTCGCTCCCTGAGATTTGCCGAAGCCGGTGGTGGACTGACTGTCCTCATCCGAAGGTTGTCTCTAGAGCGATCCAATCCACGGTAACTGCAAACTAGTTTTACATTGGGAATAAAGGCGACTCAGAAGGAAACCAATAGCATGAGAAAGACAGAGGCAGAACAGGCATTAGAATTTGGAATTAAAGCTGGCTTCATCAACAGATACAATTAATGGAATCTATGGAAAAGATTATCCAGTAAATAGGTTTCAACCATACGGCTAAAAATTAGGCATAAGTAAATAAATAAATAAATAAGTCTCCACTGTACAGAAATAGTCTAAACCATCACTTTTTACTGGATTTCTTGGGATGGCGAAAATGCCGAGGGAGTGAGTGCAGAGCCTGGTGGGGCAGTGCCGGAGCCCAGTGGTCCTTCTTGAGCCGGAGCATATTGCTGAGGTTGTTCTGCTGTTTGTATTGATTTGAATTTTAATGCATGCCAAGGGCACCTTCAGCTTTCAGAAAGGCACTATTGCTTCCAAAGCCCTGAAATTGATAACAGCAGTAAATAATTCCTTGGGAGCTCCTGGTGCTGCCGCTGCCCGGGCGCCTGCACTGGAGGCCAGTGTGGCAAGTCCTGTGCCCCAGTGCACATTTAATGTAATACGTGCATTGATTTGTGCCAACATAGTAGTGAAGATAAGAGACAAGGAGCTATATACTACTCTCTTCCAATTATTGAGCTGGAGCAACTACTGCACAAGCAAATACATGGCACTGGACTCCTGCAAAAATAAATTACAATAGTGAATGTTACTGACTGCAACAATTTGGAGACCTATAAGGCAGTTGAGAAACTTCTATTAATATCACTGCTACTGATGTGTGAAATATAACCTCTGTCCCTGGTCTCTGCCAGCTGGCCTGCACGGTGCTGCGCTGCTGCAAGAGCAGGTCAGGGAGAAGATAGCTGGGACGGGGATTTGGTGGCTGTCGCCGGAGCATCTTGCACCGTCTTCCTCCTCCTCTCTCCGTACCATCGTTGTGAAGACACTCAAACTGTCCCAGTTGGGGTTGTTCAGTCTGGAGAAGAGAAGGCTCCGGGGAGACCTTATTGCGGCCTTCCAGTGCCTAAAGGAGAGCTGGGAGGGACTTTTTACAAGGGCAGGTAGTGATAGGATGAGGGGGGGATGGATTTAAACTGGAACAGGGTAGATTTAGATATTAGGAAGAAATTTTTCCCTCTGAGGGTGGTGGGACACTGGCGCAGGGTGCCCCGAGAAGCTGTGGCGGCCCCATCCCTGGAGGGGGTCAAGGCCAGGTTGGACGGGGCTTGGAGCAACCTGGGCTGGGGGGAGGTGGCCCTGCCCAGGGCAGGGGGTGGAACGAGATGATCTTTAAGGTCCCTTCCAACCCAAACCATTCTATGATTCTGTGATTTTTCAAAGCAGGTCTATACGTGTGGACTGAGTAGCCCCTGTGTGCCCATCAAGAGAGCATGGCATGACAAAAGCCGCCCTCACTGGCTCCCTTAGATGAGACGATGTCTCCTGAGTCTCCCTGGAGACCTTGCTCAGCCCAGTGGCTGTGGCTGACAGGAGCCAGGGGAGCCCCACAGCTGGTGGGGGCTGGTGTCCTTTGCGCTGGAGTTCATGCCTTGTCTCACGCTGATCCTTCGTTCCGCTGCCTCAGTGTTGCCCCATGGCTGCAAGAACGGGCTCGTGCTGATCCCTATGATCTGTTTCTTAAAGCATTTTAAGGTGGGAAGTGCCATCTGAGCACTTCTGCAGTGGTGCAAGTATTTTTGCTTTCCTCCTAATTTCTCAGTCCAGTTGCGCAGAGCTTGGTTGGCGTTAAGCATGCAGGAAGGCTTCTTCATTTTCTTTCACATTGGTTAAATTGGGAAATAATTGAGCAGGAGAAGGCAGGAATTAATGCAAGATTTTCCATGCAGGTCTGAAAGGGGCTGAAGGGAAGAAAGCAGATTGTGCTGCAAGACAGCACAATTGCGCAGACAACCAAGTATTTTGCTAGAGGAGGTGATATTAGGCTGGGGGAAAGGTTTTTCTGGAGTCTGCTTAGATTATGCCCCCACAGGGCACAAGCCATTCATGTTTTGGTGGGATTTACCGGGCAGGATCAGGGTTTCCATTTTCATTGACTTAGAGCTGAGCAGAAGAAGATGGGACAGGAGACGAAGCTGATGGTGAGCACACAGCAAGCCTCAAGTGCAGCCCTCGTGCGAGAGCAGGCGCAGGGGACCACCCCAGGTATTAACGTGCCTTCCCCGCCTGCCTCCCGCCGTCCGAGAGACGCGTACCGTTGCAGATAACCGTTCTGACGGGCAGTACGTTCGCGAGGAGGGGATGGGGATGAAACGGGCTAATATGGGGGGGGGGGTTAACCTACAAGTGCAACTGCAGATGAGCCCCACGAGCTGCGCCCTGCTGCCGGCAGGGAGGTGGAGAGCGCAGAGGAGAGGCTCGGCAGCGCCGTACCCGTGCTGAAAAGCCATCAACCGCCTTGGGAAAAAAAAAAAAAGCGGCAATGAAACACCTGCTTCATTGCATCTGCTCGGCAGAAGCTTTTACATTGTTAAGCAGCGAGCGTGGAGATTTTCAGATGTAGCCGGTGTACCGCATGTTGGAAGGGTTGTCATGGTGAGTGCTGAATATCAGAGTACAAGCACGCCTAAAACCTACACGAGCTGCTGGTGTGTAAATTAAAGTTGCCCTCAAGTAAAGACATGGAAAACTCATGTAAATGATGCATGCAGTATTTATGAATTGCGTCCTAAGAGATTTCTGTCAGCTAAACTCCCTCTCTAACGGGCAATGGACTCTCTGTTGTTCAAACCATTAATAATTAATGCAGACTCGAAAGAGTTTTATGTTAACTTAAAAAATATATAACTTTTGCATCTGCTGTCTTTCCAGAATCACTGTCTTGGACGATGGGAGCCTCCGGATTGTCAACGTCACCAAGTCGGACGCGGGGAGTTACACCTGTGTGGCAACAAACCACTTTGGGACGGCAAGCAGCACGGGCAGTCTGGTTGTGAAAGGTAATCGCAGTTTTTATTGCATATAACTGATAACTCCGTCTGAGCATCTGAGAGCATCCGAAGCAGTCCCACACATGCTGCGCTGTTCCCCTCTGATGCCAGTGGAGCCCGGGGGGGATTAAAGTGTCTTTTGCATCTCGGAAACCTGCTGAGCCTCGTGGGTCAGAGAGGACGTTAACAGCAAGAAGGGCTCTGTGGTCACACTGAATGATGGTGCTTACAGCGAGTTAATGCGTATGTTTTCACACGTAGTTTAAAATTGTACTGGAAATGATATGGGAATTGTAATACAAAGCCAGATCCCTGGTCCGTAGCGTTGTATGACTTGTTTCTAGGGATGGCCAGTAATCACGCTCCAGAAATACTGGCTGTTGCTGCAGCCAGCTATGTCCTAAGATTCAGTTTTGCAAAGGACATGCATAAAACCCTGGAATACCTGTGGAAAAATGTTGCCCTCAGTATGCTGAGGTTAGGTGGTGTCCTTTAGAAATGTGTCTTGGCTAGTTCAACTTCATTTATTCTAGTTACTCCTGAACTTCTATTATCTTTCCAAAAACTATCTGAACTCTGCAGTACATCTTGTCGAAGAGTGACGCAGCAGTTTCAACCTTGCAATTCAATGTCATAATTTTTAGAAGATGCACAAACTCTGATTTAATTCATTATTTCTTATCCAGGGCTAAATTTCTGCGTTTTGAGGATTCCAAGTGTTCATTCATGCGTGTTCAGAATTTTTCTGTCAGATATTTTTTTCAAAAGCAAAAGCTGTAAAGTTTGACAAGAATATTTAATACAATAATTTGATAAACAGTGAGAGACACTGACAAATGTCTTAAATTAATTTTTGGCCTGCTTATGAGTAGCCTGATGTCTGATGGATTATTATAGGCAATGAATACATAGATTATTACACTTAAATCACTCTCCATCTCGTCCTCATTTGGGGAAAAACCTATATTGGATAACGAATCAGGAAAGATTGATTACAAAGCAATAAATCAATCACAAAGCTCTAATGCTGTCAGTTTTAATTCACCCTTATATTGGCATTGATGGATAGTATTTGGTTAGAAGCTCTCCCTATCGGTTATTTTTATGGTGTGGAGGGAATACTTTCAATGCAAGGTTCAATCCGTGGGTTTTATAGTCAGAGCACATTTCAGCGAGTAATGTCAGGATCAGGTGAGTGCCGAGGAAGCTGGCGAGCCCCGGCTGTAGTTACAAACTGCAGGTGACAGTGGTACAGCAGCGGGTTTTTCCCTGAGCAAAACATTTGCCTCTGCCTTAGCTCTCCAGTGGGGTCGGTGTAGCGAGAGGGGCCGTTCCTGGGGTTGTGCTCCGTGGCAGTGGCCCTTCTGCTTCCCTTACGCCGAGGGGCCAAACAGCGCAGCCCCAGGGCAGAGGGCTGTGTTATCCCTTCATGTCTTCTGCGGGTATTTATTGTAAAAGGAATGCTGCAGCACATTGACGCCAAGAGTTCTTCGGGTTTGGAGTTGATTTGAACAGCTTGCACGGCATTTGCCCCTGCCCGCGTCGGTCCCCACGATCAAAAATAGAGACGAGTGGAGCTCAGCGTCAGATCTCCATGTGAGCTGACTCTGCCTTTTCTTAACTGGTGTTGTCCTACGGAGACACCCACAGCGAATAGCGAGGAAAGCACCGCTCGGGGAAAACGAACATAAAAAAGACCTTGTCAATTATTAAAAGGGTACTGTCTGCCCCAGAGCAAAACTGGAGAGCGAAACGGTGAACTCAGATCAAACGTCCTTCTTGGGACCCCCCGGGGACCGCAGGAGGGAGGCAGCGGCTTTCCGTCCCCGAGGTCGCTGTGGTTTTTGGAGTGCTGCAAGGCACCAAGGGGCTTGAATCGGGGTCTGCGGTTCAGGGACCGCTTCTACCACTATAAAGAAAAGCCAATCGTTGAAAACAGGACTGTGTTTCATTTCTGTTCTTGAAGAGTCATGCTTCTGTAATTAGTTGCTTGCCCTTTCTTCCTCGCAGCACCCAAGGAAGAGCCTCTAACGCCGAGCACAATAGTCAGCAGCTATTGTACCCGATCTTTGGGTTCACGTGGTTTACAAATCACTTTTCTTTGCGGTGAGGTTATAAAGGATTAGCGAGTACTTTTTTCTCCCTCAGTGCTCCGTTTTAACTCGATTCCATTAGCATTAATGGGAGCGAAACATGTGCATGAAGCAGAGAATAAACTCTTAAACCCAAGATGTGGATATTAACAGCAAACTGAGAAATGCAATTTCAAAGTCTATCCCATAAAAAGTATAAAAGAGCAGAAACTATTCTGAACTCCAAATGAACTGTATAAAATACTGTATTTTATACTGAAATGCTTGAGTTTCTCTGCCCTAAGTAAAACACCGGCGAGTTTTGACGGAAATATGACTGAATAGCTTTTTTTAACTCAGTTTTGTGGTGTACAAAAAGACTAATTTATCAGCTGGTGAGTTTTTTGACCGTAAGATATGCTTATATTATTTTCTAACTCATCTTATGTCATTGAGTAAAAAACTGTGAAGGTCAAACGACATTTTTTCTAACCTTCCTGTGTTCTTCCATTAATATTGCAGGTTCCCTTTTTTTTTTTTTAATTTTCTTTCTCAGGGAGAGATGCCGACAGTGTCAAAGACAGTGTAGTCAAGGATGGGAGGAGGAGGAGGAGAATATCTGTTACACCAGAACCAAGGAGCTTAAAATAAATCTCTGGCAAACAACCAGAGAAGGATGAATAAATATTCATATTATGCATGAGTAGACAGCTTAAAAAATATGAAATTCTGACGGGTGCCCATAGGGCTGTGCATTAACATGCTGTTGTCAGAGCTGGTGAACCTCGGTGGTTTTCCGAACCACTGAGATTGTGCTTTGGGTTTGTTCTGTTGGTCGGTGCTAAACAAGAACCCCTCTGGCCTCCGAGACCCAAAATCTTGCAAACTTGCGTGTACAGTTTGACCTTTAAATTAAAAAGCAGGATTGAATTTGTAAGGATAGAGAAGAATCCCACAGACAATGTTCATAGCTATGTAAAACATGGCATGTGTTTACATGCAGTATATAAATATTAATTTTCCATCTTTCTTTTTCCATTTTTTCTTATACTTGAGGCTAAATGTTTGATTCTTCCAACACAGAGAAAAACTATAGACTTTCTCAGTAACGGGGGATTAAATGACAAACAGTGTAAACAGGCGTAGACTGAACAAGATGGGTTTATTTGTATTTAATGTAGTAATATAAATTGGCTAATATAGCAGAAGCTCTGAAATGGGAAACTAATTTCAAGGCGTTGCAGTAAAAGCTCGGAATATAGGAAGCGCAAGGAGAGGCTCCTGGTGCCGACGTCCCAGCTTGTGCAATGACTAACACCCACATGAAGTCTCTCTGGCAGCGTTAGGTGTAGAAGCGGCGAAAACAAGCTAATGGCAGAATGCAGAGACACCACCGTTTCGTTCACCGGACGAGAATATCCCTTTGTGCAGCCTGTTTCCCTGCAGACACAGTGAATATCGCGATGAGCCTGTGCCCAGCTTTGCTCTTCTCATGGTGGAGGTGAATGGATCGGGTCACCCACCGTAGACGTGTGCGGCTGCTTCTCGAACGTCTGCTTTCCTTTTGGCTGTGTTCTGAGCTGTAAATCTGTCTCTATATAAAAATATATATATTTATATGATTTTTAATATACATTTTTTATTTTTTTTTATAAATCTAATCATTCAGCTTGACTCCACAACCTGTAGCTTGATGGTGCATTCCTTTTATCATTTCCAGGTAGGCAGTAGCGGTTGCAGAGGTGAGCGAGGCCAGTGCTGCGTCCGTACTGGGAGCTGTGGGTGTGGAACTGGCCCTGGAGGAGCGCCGGCAGGGACTGCCATCCCTGCTTGCGGGGCGGTGGGGATGCTCACGGGTTTCAAAGCACTCCAGCCTGCCAGAAGCGGCTTTTTATACCAGTTAATATCCGGTTGCCTTTGATTGTGGACCAGGCTGACCCAATCCTTTCCAGTCCCCTTATCTCTGTGGTTTAATGGACCACAGAGTGGTCCAAGCAGTACGTGGCTGCTTGGTAGAGTCCGCAGGTTTATGTTTTTGTCGGGAAATACAGCAATTCCAGTCACACTGTTGCATCTCTGACAAGGGCAAGTTCCGATGGCTTTATTTGCCTGTTTCATTATGATGCACCTTTAACATTTCCCTACTGCTATTAGCTCCTCTGGATTGGACTGTCACGGGAGGGCTCAAGGCAGTAAAAGCAAGAGAACTTTCGTTAGCCGGGATCCATAGCACTTTAGCAGAAAAAGAATACAAAGATAATGTCAGTAGGTTATTTTTTCCTCACGCTTGAACAGACTGATAGTCTTGATTTTGTTCAGCACAGTGATCCAAATTATTGTCTCTGAAATTGCATATTTTCCATTCCAAGCCCATTCCTTTGTGTGAACATTGAATTGGTGTATTGCATTTAAAATTGAAATGATTGATTAAATACTGTAAATTTTGGCCCGTTATTGAGTAACTTTTCTGAGACTTCAAATGTTATTGCCTTTAAGCCTGCAATTTTTACTGTGTTATTCTAGTCCTTTAAAAGTAGCTGGGCTCAGTTCAGGGGCAGTGCTGTGCTGATCCACGTGGACACAGCGTTCGCACTCTGTAGAAACGGTATCGGTGGGGTGCGATGCCCGTCCTGGCCCCTCTGGTCATCTGTGGTTGTCACTGTTTCGATATCAATCGATCAGTATTGAACCATGTTCCTTGGAAAATGTGTTGTGCTTGCCTCACATCCATGGGGCTAGAGTAGATTTATACTACTATGGAGTGTCTTACTAGGTAAGGAGCAACCATTTTCTCATCTTTAGAGATTATGAATATTACACTGCCCGTAAAGAACTGCAACGAGTTTAGTTCTCCAGCTCCACAGGTGTGCGCCAGTGGAGAAACATCGCTCTCTAATGACTGACCATCTGTCCGCTATTGCATGTTTCAGGAGTTGT